GTTATGGCACTGCCCTAATCACAAGGAGACCCAGACACTAGAGCTAAATATCCCACCTCCACCTCTTACTGATAGTTGTTTAATAATTAATAATAATAGCTAGTAACTACTGAGCTTCTGCTGAGTACCAAGCACACACTAAAAATCTCCACATTAATCCCATATTTCAATGGAGAAAACTAAGATCAGAGAAGAAAGTAACATGGCTGTCATGTTACTGTCACACACCAAAGCCCAAACTCTGGTCCCATAACGTATTAGTCCATTTTCACACTGCTGACAAAGACATACCTGAGACTGGGAAGAAAAAGAGGTTTAATTGAACGTACAGTTTCACGTGACTGGGGAGGCCTCAGAATCATGGTGGGAGGTGAAAGACACTTCTTACATGGCAGTAGCAAGAGAAAAGTGAAGACGCAAAAGCAGAAACCCCTGAGAAACCTATCATATCTTGTGAGACTTATTCACTATCATGAGAATAGCATGGGAAAGACCAGCCCCCATGATTCAATTACACCACCCATGCCTGCCCCCAGCCCCCTCACACAACACATGGGAATTCTGGGAGATGCAATTCAAGTTGAAATTTGGGTGGGGACACAGAGAAACCATATCATTCTGCACCTGGCCCCTGCAAATCACATGTCCTCACATTTCAAACCAATCACGCCTTCCCATCAAAAGCAAGCTAGCTACTTCCTAGATACAATGAGGGTACAGGTATTGGGTAAATACAACCATTCCAAAGGGGAGAAATTGGCCAAAACAAAGGGGCTACAGGCCCTATGTATGTCCGAAATCCAGCGGGGCAGTCAAATTTTAAAGCTCCAAAATTATCTCCTTTGACTCCAGGTCTCACCTCCAGGTCATGCTGATGCAAAAGGTGGGTTCCCATGGTTTTGGGCAGCTTCACCCCTATGGCTTCGCAGGGCACAGCCTCCATCTCAGCTGCTTTCATGGGCTGGCATTGTGTCTGTGGCTTCTCCAGGCACACAGTGCAAGCTGTCGGTGAATCTATCTACCATTCTGAGGCCTGGAGGACAGTGGCCCTCTTCTCACAACTCCACTAGGTGGTGCCCCAGCAGGGACTCTGTGTGGGGACTCCCACCCCCCATTTCCCTTCCACAATGCCCTAGCAGAGGTTCTCCATGAGAGCTGCACCCCTGCAGCAAACTTCTGCCTGGGCATCCACGTATTTCCATACATCTTTTGAAATCTAGACAGAGGTTCTGAAACCTCAATTCTTGACTTCTGTGAACCCATAGGCTCAATACCACGTGGAAGCTGCCAAGACTTGGGGCTTCCACCCTCTGAAGCCACAGCCCAAGCTCTACATCAGCCACTTTCAGCCACAGCTGGAGCAGCTAAGACACAGGACACCAAGTCCCTAGGCTGCACATGGCATGGGGACCCTGGGCCTGGCCCACTAAACCACTTTTCCCTCCTGGGCTTCCAGGCATATAATGGGAGAGAGTGCTATAAAGGTCTCTGACATGGCCTGGAGACACTTTCCCCATGGTCTTGGGAATTAACATTTGGCTCCTTGCTACTTATGCAAATTTCTGCAGGCCACTTGCATTTCCCTCAAAAAATGGGTTTTTCTTTTCTACTGCAGTGCCAGGCTGCAAATTTTCTGAACTTTTATGCTGTTTCCTTTTAAAACTGAATGCCTTTAATAGCACCCAAGTCACCTCTTAAATGCTTTGCTGCTTAGAAATTTCTTCTACCAGATATGCTGAATCATCTCTCTCAAGTTCAAAGTTCCACAAATCTCTGCTAAAACATAACAAAAGTCACCTTTGCTCCAGTTCCCAACAAGTTCCTCATCTCCATCTAAGAACACCTCAGCCTAGACCTTATTGTTCATATCATACTGGACCATATTGTTCCACTTTCAGCCTTTTTGTCAAAGCCATTCAACAAGTCTCTAGGAAGTTCCAAACTTTCCCACTTTTTCCTGTCTTCTTTTGAGCCCTCCAAACTGTTCCAACCTCTGCTGGTTACCCAGTTTGAAAGTCGCTTCCACATTTTCAGGTATCTTCTCAGCGTCATCCCACTCTACTGGTAACAATTTACCGTATTAGTCCATTTTCATGCTGCTGGTAAGGACATACCCGAGACTGGAAAGAAAAAGAGGTTTACTTGACTTACAGTTCCACATGGCTGGGGAGGCCTCAGAATCAAGGCAGGAAGTGAAAGACACTTCTTACATGGCAGCAGCAAGAGAAAAATGAGGGAGAAGCCAAAGCAGAAACCCCATCAGATCTCATGAGACATATTTACTATCACAAGAATAGCATGGGAAAGACTAGCCCCCATAATTCAATTACCTTTCCCTAGGCCCCTCACACAATATCTGGAATTCTGGGAGATACAATTCAAGTTGAGATTTTGGTGGGGACACAGCCAAACCATATCACATTGGTGATCTTCCCCATTCCATGCTTCAGCTGTCTCATGTACCAGGCACTGCCCTAAATGCCTCTCATGGATGGACTCATCCATTCCTCACCCGAACCCTATGATGCTGGTGCTACCTGCAGCTCCATTTTACATGCAAAAAAACTCAAGCCTAGTGACCTCCCCATCCAGTTCTCAAAGGCAGCAAGTAACAAACCTTATCCATAAGTCAGGATGGCAATTTGACCCAGCAATTGTACTCTTGGGCATTTAGAGAAATAAAAATATATGTTCACACAAAAACCTGTACACAGATGTTTACAACATCTTTATTTGTAATAGCTAAAGACTGGGAGCAACCCAAATGTCCTCTGAACTATGAGTAAATGGTTCAGTGTAATCTGTGGTCAAACAAATGGTTAAGCTGTGGTACGTGCATATAATGAAGTAACAGCAAAAAGGAATGCACTATTGATATAATACACATAATACTGGATAAAACTCCAGGAAATTATGCTTGGTGAAAAAAACCAGCTCCAAAAGGTTACATACTGTATGATTCCATCAATGTAACATTTTTGAAATGACAAAATTCTAGAAATGGAGAACAGACAGTGCTCCAGGGACTGGGGACAAGGGAGAGTATGATAGGGGGAGGCAGTGGGGCTATAAAGACAGAATGAGGGATCCTTGTGAGGAACTGCTCAGTCCCATGACTGTGGTGGGTGATACATAAGCCTATATGTGAGAAAACTGTACAGAACTGCATCCATGCTCTCATGCATGTGTACACACACAGTACGAATAAAATGAGGAAACTCTGATCTGTGGCCTCTACAAATATATACTGCTGTGATAATGGACTATTGTTTTGTAAAATGTTACCAGTGGGAGAAACTGGATAAAGGGTATGTATGCCGGATCTCCCTCTATTACTCCTTTTTGGTTTATTTTTAGACAGGGTCTGGCTCTGTCACCCAGGCCAGAGTAGTGTTGCAATCTCGGCTCACTGCAATCTCTACCACCTTCCAGGCTCAAGTGATCCTCCCCACCTCAGCCTCCCAAGTAGCTAGGACCACAGGTGTGCACTACCACGCCCTGCTAAATTTTGCATTTTTTTTTTTTTTTTTTTTTTTTTGTAGAGACTGGGTTTCCCTTTGTTGTCCAGGCTGATCCTGGGCTCAACAGATCTGCCTGCCTCGGCCTCCCAAAATGTTGGGATTACAGGTGTGAGCCACCATGCCTGGCCCCTGTATTAATTCTTAAACTGCAAGTAAATATACAATTATCTCAATAAGAAGTACAAGTTAAAAAAATCTTCCCTGCCCAAAAGCTGGGCTATATAACCTTCTGTATTTCTTTCATCTCTTAAGACCTGCAAAATTTCCAATGCCTCCAAAGCCAGTCTTCTTTCCACCATACCACACAACAGCTTCAAAAGCCAAAGCAAAATTAACGCTTGGCAAAGGGAAACTAAGAAAATAAGCCGTCATTTCATAGAATTCAGCATTGCTAGTCATTTTACGTTTCCTCTGAAAAGTACTCCAATTTGCTTTTATTTCATTAAACTGACTTCTGGCCCAAAAAAAAATGGAAAATGTGATCCTATAAAACGTTCTTGCTCACCAAATAATCTCTCCCTATCTCTATGTGCCACCTCCAACAAGAAGTAACCAATATACCAATTTCGGTTCTGAATCCTCCTTGGAAGCACCAGCGCCAATGGATTATTGGTTCCCAAATGGTCAATGGAGCACAGGAAACAGGACAGTGGCTTAGGAGCTGAGACAAACTAAATCCAGGCGTCACCTTGGCTAGGTCACTTAAACCCGATTCTCGCCTTTCCCATCCATAGAATGGGGATGTGGCACCACCTCCTTCGTAGACTACTAGAACAATTTAGAGATTATCTACGTGCCTGGCACTATTAGTTCATTAGCAACAACTGAGCCAAGCTCGTTTTATGTGCACCTGGCCCCAAAGTCCTCATTCACAGCCTTAGAATCCCCTCCTCACCGAGGTTAATGTAGAGCCCAGAACCTTCCCCACCTGGACCTCTCCTCTTTCAAACACCGCACAGCTCATCTCAACTCATCTCATCCCATCCCACCTCACCCCACCCCCGCCAAACGGAAAACAGAGGAGCCTCCGGATCGGCCACCTGCGCAGCAGCCCGGCTCCAGGGCATCTCTGCGCCCGCTAGACTCGGCTGTTACTATTATTACTATTGATGAATAACCACCTAACGGTGCGTGGGAGGAGCTGACTCCCCAGGGAGGTCTGCAGAACCCCCGCCCCGGGCAGCCCAAAGCCCCTCAGAGGCAGATTTCGGGCTAAAAAGCCCAAGAACGTATACAACAGCTTTCCCGACAGCGCACAGACACGAGTTGTGAAGTTTCTAGAGTGCATTTTTCCGCGTTTCCCCGAGTCGCTTGGCAGGGGCGATGCTGCCAGCGGCTGGGGGTGTGGGCACCAGGAGCCGCGACTGGAGGGCCCCGGAAGTCCGCAGCGGGGCGGATCTGAGTCCTAGGGCGCGCGCCTCCCAGCTGAGCCCGCAGGAGGGGCCCCAGGCGCCGGGGCGGGGTCGCCGCCTCACTCACCGTCCGTGCTTCTCTTCGCCTCCCGGTAGCGCTCCCACAGGTAGCCCTTCATGTCCGGGGCGGTCCCGGGTGCGGTGCACAAGGGCCGTGCGCGGCCCGCACACGGCCTCCCCCGGCTCGCGGTCCCGCAGCCGCCCCGCAGAGCCGCCGCCGCCCTCGCTCCAGCCCCGCGGGCCACCGCCGCCGCTGCCATAGTCATGCCTGCTGCCCGCTGCCGCCGCCGCCGCTTTGGGAGTGCTGCCGCCAGGCCGAAGCTCTGCCCGCGCTCTGCCCCACAGGCGGGCGGCTCCTGCGTCGGAACACGTGGCGGCGCGGGCCGGCCCTCCGGCCGCTGCGGGGCGGGAAGGGGGCGGAGTCGCGGGGGTGGGCGGGGTCTGAAGCGGGGGAGGGGCGGGGCGGGGCTGGGGGGCCCTCACGCCCAGTCTGCTGCGGTCAATTCCAGGGTGGCGCGGCGGTAGCCATGTGGTGGCGCGCAGACCACAGGGATGGAATGACCAGATACGACCCCGGCGCCGCCAGCCCAGCTCCGCCGCACCTGCCTTCTGGGGCTGACCCCAGCTCTGGCCATACAGACAGGGTTCCTCCCATGCCAGTTGCTCTGGCCCCGGCCCCAGAAGGTGACCTCTCTCCGCATTAATGGCCTCTGCAGTCTGGACCTCCCCTGGATCGTGGGGCCGGTCTGGGACGTCCCCGACCCCCAGCTTAGATCTATACAGGACCGCCGGTGAGTTGGTGGCAGGGCTCCACTCGTGGGCTGATGTTGGCTGGAGGATCCCAGCCCCTTAAGACCTCAGTAAGTTTGAAGGGCACTTCCGTTACACAGCCTGGAAGGCCAGTGCCCCGCCCTAGATTTCCACCTGGCGACAGAGGTCCTTGGGACACGATCACCCAGCTCCGCCCCTGCCCACGCTAAGGGCTTAGTGCACAGGTCTTCCCTCAAACCTGCTAGGCTGCACCCGTCCTGTGCCTGTGGTTCCACCAAAGCCAAATGAACAGCATGCTTACCTGACGGCAATTCTGTGTGGACGGAGTCAGACACAGCTTCTGCAGGGAAGACTGATGTGGCCCAGCCAGAACCCTGCTGAGAATCGCTAGACAGCAAGGGCTTCACAAGCTGTCCTGTGGTTACTTAATTTTGCGAAGGTGGAGTAGTGGGAATAGTCCTTAAGGCTGGCACTCTGCCAAGGAGACAATACTGCCTTGTGTGAAATGATTGGAGCATAGTTTAAGACAAATAACCCAAGGCATTAGTGTATGCTCCAGTTGTGGGATGGAGGGGTCTGGAGGTGTGTCATGGGAAAAGGTGGCATCTGGGTTAAACTACTATTTATTGAAGGCTTGCTGTGTGCAGTATCTCATGCAATCCTCTCAGTAATCCTGAAAAGCAGACACCATAATTTCTCCAATTCTACAATATAGTCAACCCTCTGTACGTGCCGGGAATTGGTTCCAGAATACCTGCCCCACACATACACAGCAAAATCTGCAGATGCTCAAGTCCTTTATATAAAATGGCTATTTGCAAACACACATACTTCTATATATTTTAAACCATATTGCTTACTGTAAAAAAAAAAAAACAGGGTCTTGCTCTGTCACCCATGCTGGAGTGCAGTGGTATGATCACAGTGCACTGCAGCCTCAACCTCCTGTGTTTAATCAATCCTCCCACCTCAGCCTCCTGAGTAGCTGATACTACTGTGGGTGTGAACCACAATGACTGACTAATTTTTGTATTTTTTGTAGAGACAGGAGTCTCGCCATGCTCCCCAGGCTGATCTCAAACTCCTGGAATCAAGCAATCCGCCCACCTTGGCTGCCCAAAGTGCTAGGATTACAGGCACGAGTCATTGCACGAGGCCTCAATTACTTTTCATACCCAATACAATATCGATGCTCTGTAAATAGTTGTGACACTGTATATTCTATTTGTATTACTTTTCATTGTTGATTTTTTTTCTAATATTTTTATCCATGGTTGGTTGAATCCACAAATGCAAACCTGCAGGTACAGAGGGCTGACAGTAATGAAACTGAGGCCAAGAAAGATGAAATAACTTTCCTAGAACCACACAACTGAACTCATTCTTCCATTTGGCTTCCTAACATAGAGTACGTAGAATTTAAGTGGGTGATAGGGAAGAAACTAGCCAACAAGTAATCCTTAATAGTTAATGGTTAATGTTTTACAAATCACTGATAAAATGAGACAATAAAATATTTAAAACATATATAGTATCAAATACATGGGCTCTGGTACTTTAAACTTACTTTATGGTTTTAGTTTTATTCCAAATTACATATTTTTAAATCTGTGTTTCATAAAAAGATTTGATGATAGCAATTGTAAATTTTGTTCACATGAAAAATTAATTCATAAATTCAAAGTGGATAAACGATAATGCAAAAATAATACAATTAGAATTTTAATAACATTGCTTCTGTATATTTTTGGATATGGAACACCATGAGATCAACATTGCTGTACCTCCCATAGAAATGTGAATCACCTAAAAATTGTTCTTCTTAGGTAAAATTAGTTACAATGTTTCAGTGCCTAAATAATCACATTTCCAGACCTTGATTATTATCACTCTTGTGTGTTTTAGAAGAAAACATTCAATAAAAGAATTCTAATTAAAGACAAGTAGAAAAAACAGATGTCAAGAAGCCCATGATAAATGTTTATTATTTATTAATATCATTTGAGCTCTTCAACAATTTTGTTTCAACATGAGATCTTCCAAATGCCCATTGATGATAGACTGGATTGGGAAAACGTGGCACATATACACCATGGAATATTATGCAGCAATCAGAAATGATGAGTTCGTGTCATTTGTAGGGACATGGATGAATCTGGAGAACATCATTCTCAGCAAACTGACACAAGAACAGAAAATGAAACACCGCATATTCTCACTCATAGGTGGGTGATGAAAAATGAGAACACATGGACACAGAGAGGGGAGTACTAAACACTGGGGTCTTTTGGGGGGAAAAGGGGAGGGCAAGTGGGAGGGGGAGGTGGGGAGGGATAGCCTGGGGAGAAATGCCAAATGTGGGTGAAGGGGAGAAAGCAAACAAAACACACTGCCATGTGTGTACCGATGCAACTGTATTGCATGCTCTGCACATGTACCCCAAAACCTAAAATGCAAAAAAAAAAACATGAGATCTTCTCTGCAAAAAAGACTTCTGAGACATCAAAATATAATCTGGGCTATGAAAAAGCCACTTTTCTGATATGAGCTCAGATATGGATTCCCAAGGGTTTTTTGTGCTAAGAGGCCATAGCAGGGGACAGCAGTCAATGGTGGTGATTTCACCTTCTCCACTCTCACTTTTAGGTAACAAAATTATTTCCCTTGGAAGCTTTACTAAACCATTCGTTTTACCCAATGATAAAATGTTAGATGAATAGTCTTTCTTTGGTGCTTCCTTTCCTTAGCCATTCCATATTTCGGCATTATTTTGTGTCTTTCGTTATATCTTTTCCATAGCAGATTTGCAAATAATGGGTTTCTTTTTCCCTTTTCCAGAAGCACATTTTGATTTAGCTGAAATTGCCTGAGGAGCTAAGTCCATTTCGTAGCCCTGTATAAGTTATCTGCATTTGTGTACCTTGCAGAGCTCACTGTATTAGAACTCTGAGCTCTGTGATAGCTTAATTTAAGCAAGTTCTCCCATAATGAGAAGCCATTCCTAGAACCCGCAGAATGTGACTGGCTCATACCTTGAAGCCAACATCTCCAGCTCCGGATCCACTCAATTTCTCTCAGAAGGCTGCAAACGATGAAAAGTTGTCAAGAGGTCATATATATATAACATGAATACCCAGAAGCATATTTCTGTTTGGAACATGAAACAGAAACTCACTGCAGGATTCCATGGATTGATGAATGAGAAGATCCCAGGTGAATCACCCTTAAATCAAGTGATCTGTACAAGTAGCCCACTGCCTCAATCATGACGTGATGACAAGAGTCACTCGACAATAACTGACCTGCTAGATATTTGAAAATAAGAATATTGGACTTTTATTACTCATGAATTCAGACATTCAAAAGAGAAGGATAAAAAACATTTATAAAAGGTGGTATTGGAACATGACTTATTTGTAATATTCTGCCAAAAAATATTTAACTGAGTCTAATCATAAAGAAACAATCAGGCTAGGCATGGTGGCTCATGCCTGTAATCCCAGCACTTTGGAAGGCTGAGGCAGGTAGATTACGTGAGCCCAGGAGTTCAAGACCAACCTGGGCAACATGGCAAACCCCCATCTCTACAAAAAAATACAAAAATCAGCTGGGCATGGTGGCGCATTCCTATAGTCTTAGCTACTTAGGAGACTGAGGTGGGAGGATTGCTTGAAACCAGGAGGCAGAAGTTGCAGTGAGCTGAGATTGCACCACTGCACTCCAGCCTGGGTAACAGAGTGAGACCCTGTCTCAAAAAAATAGAAAGAATCAGACAGATATAAATTGAAGGACATTGGGATAGGGATGGGAGGGTGAAACCTGACTTCAAATCTTCAAAATGTCAATGTCATAAAGACAAAACAAAGGTACTTAATTCTAGACTAAAAGAGACAAATGCAATGCAAGATCCTCAATAGGATTCTGGATCCAAAAGTTAACAGCTATAGAGAACATTACTAGATACCTGAGGAAATTTGAATATGGACTATAGTTAGATAATAGTCTTAGGTAATAAATTTCCTGTATTTGATTATTGTGGCTGTATAATCAATGAGTACAAGGAGAATGTCCCTGTACTCCGAAGACATATGCTGAATTACAGTATTTAGAGATAAAAGTGTCATGTTTGCAACTAACTTTCAAATGGTTCCGAAAAATATGTATGTATGTATGTGTCTGTGCTTGTACATGAAAGATAGAACAGAAATGTGGTAAAATGTTAACAATTGGTAGGCCAGGTAGAGTGGGTGGCTCATGCCTGTAATCCCAGCACTCTGGGAGGCTGAGGAGGTAGAATTGCTTGAGCCCAGGAGTTTGAGACCAGCCTGGGTAACATAGTGAGACCCTGTCTCTATAAAAAATAGTAATAACAATTATTTAAAATGTGATGAAAATAGGTAAAGGTTATATGGTCATTCACTATACTATTCTTGAAATTTCTCTGTAGGTTTGAAATTTTTCAAAATAAAAAAATTGGGAAAAATTGTTTCCAACTGCCACGGTCAAGAATTGAATTCTCAGCCAGGCACAGTGGCTCACGCCTGTAATCCCAGCACTTTGGGAATTAGAGGCGGGTGGATCACTTGAGGTCAGGGGTTCAAGACCAGCCTGGCCAACATGGCAAAACCCCATCTCTACTAAAAACACAAAGATTAGCCACATGTGGTGGCAGGCACCTGTAATCCCAGCTACTCAGGAGGCTGAGACAGAAGAATCACTTGAATCCAGGAGGCAGAGGTTGCAGTGAGCTAAGATCATGCCACTGCACTCAAGCCTGGGCAACAGAGTGAGACTCCATCTCAATAATAATAATAATAATTGAATTCTCTAAAATTTGTTAAAATAAAAACAATCCATTTTACAATCTAACTTGCAGATGGTACTTATTTACTCATTTTACCCATTTACAAGACTGCTTTTAAGGGGCTGAACTTATACCATTGCTTATAAACATAACGTAAGGTTGGTATGTGTAAGGCACTGACCTAGAAATGTGTTAGAGACTGCTCCCTATGTAAAGGCTAAAAACACTGACAGATAACCCAGTCGGTATTCCTGTGTTAACAACAATAACAGCAAATGTATATAATTACCATCTGTCAGGACTGTGTAATCTTATAAGGTATAAACGATCATCACCTGTCCACCTGGTTCAAAAACGAAAATGTATCAAACTATAAAGTGAAAAGTGTCTTTCCCTTCTCTTTCCCCATCTGTGTAGTCTTCTAAAATGGAACCACTGACGTTAGTTTCTAATGTGTCCTTCCAGAGAATTTTTAGTTCATGTTTCATTTTACTTGTCTTTTGAAGATGAGCATGCTGGAAGAGGTTAAAGAACTTGTTCTAGTTCATGGAAGAACAGTCCTGAGTCAGCCTCATCCCCAAGTTCACGCCCTGCACTCCCACACTAGGCTGCCTCTTCCCCATTCTGGATTGTGCTTCTGAATATCAGCCGTGGCTTCTGCTTGTAGAGATGTTCTTTCTCTGCTGCTGTGCTTCATGGATCACACTCTGTGTCTCACATTTCCTGTAGCTTTCTCTGGAAATCCCACAGGGAATTTCAGCTGCTGTCTCTGCTTAGCGATCTGTGACTATGTTTCTTCTTTTTGGATTATTTTCATGACTCCCTGTGATGTTCCCAGGTGCCTCAATCTGGCTCAGCAGAAGACACTAGTGAATTACCCTGTTCTTGATGAGCAAGTTGCATTGGCCTTAAAAGGAAAAGTGGAGAAAAATAGAAACTGGATGTGTCATGTGGTGGCAAACACAGAACCCATTCTCAGAGAGTCTCTGGGCACTAATAACTAGATTCACAGGTGGGACTGACTGTTCATTCTGCCCAAGACCCCTGAAGAGAATCTGACTTGCTGTAGGATTGAGATTTTCACTGTGGACAAGTTTCTGGTGCCCTTTGCATACACTACTTCATGCCGTTGCTACCCGCCTCCCTCTTGACCACACACAACTCCTCAGGCCCCTTTTCCGGGTGACCCATTCTAGACCTGACCTACAGCTTTGACCTCAGAACTTTCTTGGACGCGATCTGACTCAGGCAGCAAGCAAGCCAGGAAAGGACATTCTCGCCTCATCCCCACCGCCAGTTTACCCCCTTTTTCTTGGAGCTGGTACCAGTTGGATCAACCTGGTCAGTTCTCCCAACCCAGGGAAGAGGAAAAAACCGAATGGGTGAATTTAAACTGGAGAGATGTCACTGAACCTCTTCCCACTCAAACATTTGCCCTGGATGAGGAGGGAACCTAACATTTAATTTCGTACTTTATTGGATGTTTGGTATATATTATCTCATTAAATCTTCACAATTACCCTATAGGTAGGCTATATTATAACCTCTTGATTGCTAAGAAAATTGAGACTCAGAGAAGTTATGTCCACAAGTCCAGAAGACAGCAGAACTGGGATTCCAATTCAGGTCCTTAGGATCCAGGACCATAACTTCTAGAAGTGAGAAAAGAGAACACTATTCTTCCTGTTTTCTTGGTTCCAGGGAAGATTTCTGCATACAAATACAGCTAGAAGGGAAGCCTCGGTTACCTTTTCTATGTCGTACTTCTAGACGGAGCCACATCCATTTTATTTCCAGTGGAGTATGAATTGGGAGCTGGGATTGAGGAAAGGTCCCATGAACACTCTGAAAAGTCTGTTCTCAGATTTTAAGTAGTATGTTTTCCTAGTCTAGCCACTTGATTTTCTGTGCTTAACATTAAAAAGACGGTGGAATATTTATTATTCCCTTAGAAAAACAAAACAAGATATTTCATCCAAAGATAGTCCTCTGTCCTATTAAGCACTCTTCTAAAGCACAATTTTTCCTAATTTTTATTCTACTGAGATTAAAATTAAGTCCTGTTCCTCCTCTTGCTTTATATAATATTTGCTGTCACCTAACAGGCGGATTTTTGCAATACCAGTCCAGCGTGAGAGATGTTGACTTTCTCCGGGGCCCACCGCAACAATCCAGGCAATTGTCTCCAGGTGACAGTGAAATCTCTCCAGTGTTGACAGAGGTCTCAGGAAGTTTCCCTGAATGAGTAACTCAGTGGATGAACTACCCCTGGGACAGGTAGTTCATTACAGGGCAGCATCCACTGAGTTACTCTGTGCTGGGAGTGAATGGGATTAAGAAGTGAGGACAATCACACCCATAGTCTCTGTCTAGATTCTAGAAGATGAGCTGCAATTGTAAAGAGGAAGGAGAGCTTGGCAGTATCTAAAGGCTCTTTGTTGAAAGTTTAATTTTGTTTGATCATTATGCTGTGTCTAAAGTTTCTTTGTAAAGAAATCTTTAAGTTTGAGAAACTAAGTATGTTTGTTCAGTCCTTTTTTTTCTAACTATGAACTTAACCTAGAAGTGTTTGCTTATTCTTTCCATAAACATGTTTATCTATAAACAGGTTAGGGAGAAAGTTGTATATTACTGTACCAAAAAAAAGTAAAAGGTTGCAATTAGATGTCTCCATGGTCCCTCAATTTCTGCTCCAAAGAAAATAATAAAGGAGGTTAAGGGGGCCTCTTAAGTAGCGCCCTCTGTTGTCTTCCCCTAGTTCTGCTTCAATTCACTTCACCAATTGAAGGGGATGGGCCTGTGCAGAGGCCCCGCGTTTAAGCAGAAGGAATGGATTGTTCTCTCTTGTCTCTTGAGATGGAGTCTTGCTCTGTCGCCAGGCTGGAGTGCAGTGGCATGATCTTGGTTTACTGCAACCGCCTCCCATGTTCAAGCAATTCTCCTGCCTCAGCCTCCCAAGTAGCCAGGATTACAGGCACCCACCACCACACCCAGCTAATTTCTGTATTTTTAGTAGAGATGGGGTTTCACCATGTTGGCCAGGATGATCTCAATCTCTTGACCTTGTGATCCACCCACCTCGACCTCCCAAAGTGCTAGGATTACAGGCATGAGCCACCGTGCCCAGCCAGATTGTCCTCTCTCAAACAGGCTTTTGTCTCTACCACCAAAATGTAACATCCCCTGTGACCTCTGTGTTGTTAAACACAGTTCTCAATCTGGTGTTCAGTTCTCAACACTCCTCTCGTGGCTTCAATGATTTTACTGCTCCTCAGCCTACCTCTGGAGCCATTCTTCATCTTTTACTACAGCCCTTTCCTCTTCTCACCCCTTAAATACTGGCATTCTTCCAAGTTCTATTTCTTGCCATTGTTTTATCTTAACATTCTTCTTGCTTCTTTCAGCCATTCTACTGAGTTAACCCAGCAAGCACTAAGGACTCCCAAATGTTTTCTCTGGCTCAGTCTTCAAGCTCTTAAGCACCAAACTCATATGTTCTATTGCCCACTGAATGTCTCAACTTGGATAGGAAATTCAAACTCAACACGCCCCAGATTAGCTCACTGTGACTCCCACCCCACCCTACCAAACTATGCTCCCTCTCCTGCAACACCAACAGCATCATGCTCCCAGGTGCACTGACCTGTGATATAGTCGTAAACTGGGAAATGCTTTTGACTTTCTCTCACCTCCCACATCCAATCAAGCACTGAGCCTGTTGGATTTACCCACTAAATCTCAAATCTGACACTTTCTCTCCATTTCTACCATCCCCTCTTAGTTTACCAACTCCATGCTCCATTTGGTCACAAAATTGTTATATCTTAAACACAAACTTACTCATGCCCCGAGTGCTGGAAATCCTGCAGCAGCTTCCCTGTCAAGCCCTTGAGCATGGTAAACCTTGCTATTCCTCCAGCATCACTCCCCAACTCTCCCCATTCCAGAGTTTCAAACCACCCAAGCTCTCCCTTCCTTGACATTGTTCATGCTGATTCTTCTTACCTAAAATGCTCCTCATGCACTTCTTCACCAGGCATCTGTCAGAACTCAGAGACTGAGCCCAGAGCTCACTGTCTCTGGAAAGTCTTCCTTCTTGCCTCTTTTCTGTGCTTCCCTGTGCCATCTCCAATGTCTTTTGTTTTTTTTTTTTTGAGATGGGGTTTCCCTCTTGTTACCCAGTATGGAGTCCAATGGCACAATCTCAGCTCACCGCAACCTACACCTCCTGGATTCAAGCGATTCTCCTGCCTCAGCCTCCCGAGTAGCTGGGATTAAAGGCATGTGCCACCACGCCTGGCTAATTTTGAATTTTTTAGTAGAGCTGGGGTTTCTCCATGTGGGTCAGGCTGGTCTCGAGCTCCAGACCTCAAGTGATCCACCCGCCTCAGCCTCCCAAAGTGCTGGGATTACAGGCGTGAGCCACCACGCCCGGCACTCTCCAATGTCTTTCACAGTACATAACATATTAGATTGTATTTCTCTTCATGTGCTTGTCACCCCAATGAGACCACAAACTCCTAGAGTTCACAAACAGCAGGAAGGGCTTGGGAATTGAGGTCAGAGAAGTGGATGCCAAATCTTAAGTCTACTTACTAGCTGTAGACTGGTCTTTGTGAGCCTCGATGATTATAATATCTAATCCATAGGATTCTCTGATCAAAGGTACTGGGGCAAGTCATGTGATGTATCTGCTATTCTCTTAGTTCAGGAACTCTAGAGTCCTTTCCAGGTTTAAAAGTTTTCTAAGTTTATGAGGCCTACTTGACATTTTTTTTTCAGCCAATAGGGTTTACAAATGTATAAACTATTAAAAATGATTAAGCCTACACAAATAAAAAGTAAGCTCTGTTAACACACATAAACTGACTTGCTGCATTAACCACGGCTCTCCATTTTTTCTACAAAACATACTGCCTGGCTGGGCACAGTGGCTCAAGCCTGTAATCCCAGCACTTTGGGAGGCTGAGGCAGGCAGATTACAAGGTCAGGAGATCAAGACCATCCTGGCTAGCTTACACAGTGAAACCCTGTCTCTACTAAAAATACAAAAAATTAGCCAGGCATGATGGCATGTGCCTGTAGTTCCAGCTACTCAGGAGGCTGAAGCAGGAGAATCACTTGAATCCAGAAGGCAAAGGTTGCAGTGAACTGAGATCACACCACTGCACTCCAGCCTGGGCGACAGAGAGAGACTCCGTCTCATAAAAAAAAAAAAAAAAAAAAAACCCCAAAAAACATACTCCTCAGTATCCAGAGAATACTAAATGCCTGCAGCTAGCAGGTTCATCTCTACTTTGCTGGCATGCTTCTGTTCCCAAGAGTTGGGTTCTAGCATAGCCCAAAGTCAATTGAGTATGTCAATCTAATTAAGTAACTGAGTACAATACAGACTAATAAATAAGATACAAGTATGAAATTTAAAAAAAGTTGTTTCCTCTGAAAACGAGACTGAATTCTTGGGAACGCCTTAATATCAAGAGCTACTAAGAAAAATAAGTCCAAATTATGAGTGGACAAGACAACTGCAAAAGATTGAGGGGGAAAAATGCAGCAACTTAGAGGGATACTGCACACAGACTGCATCACAATTGTTCTCACTCTTCAGAAACCAAAACTAGAAATTGAGGGTGATACATTATGAGAATATGGCACCTAATTCCAGTCAGAGGACCCATTAAAGAGAAAGAGAGAGATCTTTTACATATTTTAAGGATGGGCATGATGCCTTCCGCCTGTAACACCAGCACTTCAGAGGCCGAGGCGGGTGGATCATGAGGTCAGGAGTTCGAGACCAGCCTAGTCAACAAGGTAAAACCCCGTCTCTACTAAAAATACACAAATTAGCCAGGCGTGGTAGTGCATGCCTGTAATCCCAGCTATTAGGAGGCTGAGGCAGAATTGCTT